TCCTGCCTCCTGAATCGATTGCTAATGTAATTAGGGATGAAAAAGCAGAGGGAAACTAATATCGTAAATACATTTCATGTACTTTCATTATTATAAACTCACTGAGCATACATAAATGCTGATTGATCGTATTAGTTATTACCAATCAATACTGTTAATTGCTACGGAGGGGCGAAGGGTTAAAATTATTTACAGAGTTTGCAATTTTGTTACAACCCCCTTGTTTCAATCCCTTGTTTCATGGGGATGTAAATGATTAAACAGACGTAATTGATTCGGTCACAATATATTTTCGCATTTCCCTGACGTTTAATTTTGAATATTCATCAACGTCTCTGCTTTAATTTTCCATTATCAATAATTTAGCCTTCATGTATTTGCAGAAAACTAATTTTGTGGTATTTTTAATTCAATTGAACCCCAAACAGCATTGTTCGTTTCTGTCAAATTAGCACTGACTTCTGTGGCACGCAGCTCTACCGTTTCTGAATGTGCCGCTACGGAAAGGAGCCCAACAACAAACGAAGTCCTTTGTCCTTTCAATAAGTTAGTCCATTGTAACATCCCACATTTTAATATCCTAATTATAATACATATAATTAGAATGATCAAGTCAAGGAGGATGAGGTGGGCAGGGCGTGTAGCACGAATGGGGAGACGAGGAATGTGTATAGGATATTGATGGGAAAGCCAGAAGGAAAGAGACCACTGGGAAGACTAAATCGTAGGTTGGTGGACAATATTAAAATGGATCTTAGAGAGATAGGATGGGATGGCATGGATTGGATTGATCTGGTTCAAGATAGGGACCAGCAGAGGGCTCTGGTGAACAGGGTAATGAACCTCCGGGCTCCATAAATTCTTGAGTAACTGCAGATTTGGCGGCTCCTTAAGAAGGGCTCAGCTTCTTAAGTGAGTAAATGATAATAACTGATCTGAATAATCTACAACGTTTAGCGTCCTTCTTCTGGCTTATTTTACGACTCTGTCAGCGTCAACGTCTAGACGACATGGCGTCGGTGGAAGGATGTGGTCGTGGTTTAATCGAGGCACTATCCTAATATTCGTCTGAAGTGACTGAGGAATACCATGAAGAACTTTAGTTAGGGCTGCCGGTGTCCCAAAGCAGAGCATCATCTCCCGGACACGAGTGCAGAGCGATACCGCTGTGCCAACCCGCTCGGTGTTCGGCGTTTTAATTCGTTTGTCATTAATTTCAACCCCTCTTTACGAGTACTTTTTTTTTCGCCAGTGTGACGCTGTACAAGTCAATAGATATTAACATTTCGAAAGGCTAACCCCTCCTTCGGGATGTAAATAAATATTTTGAATCCTGGATCGTCATGGCCTTCAGATTCCAGTTGCCCTGCATAAATCGTGAAGTGCTTCATCACGTAAAGCACAACGTCCGAATTACTCGTGAGGGTATATCATAAGTTCTGTGTGAAGAGTGCGTTTCGGAGGAGCATATCACCTCCATCTTCAGGATAGAATAAGCCGAGCAAGAAACCAGCGTGAAAGTAAGTGGCAAATATAAGTTCTGTGTGTCCAACAAGATCTGCGTTATGACAATTTTAGTTTTCTACTTTGTTGTGAAAACAGACTCTCCAGTGAATCTCTAATGATGACGCAACGACCTACGTCACCATTTCATGACGATGTATCCTCAGAATATTTCAGATACAAAATATCCAGACTTTGGAGGTCTTGTGCTGTCTATGTGCAACGTCGCACACTGTTCTTTCTTCTTATTCCTTTATTGGGCACTACACGTTTCGGCCTGATTGGCCATATTTAGGCGTACAGGTGTACAGGTGACTTGAAAATGGCCAATTAGGCCGAAACATGTAGTGTCCAATAAAGGAATAAGAAGAAAGAATAGTGTGTGATGTTGCACATAGACAGCACAAGACCTTCAAAGTCTGATCTGTACAGTGCAATTTAACATTACAGGAAGGGCCGCTCCATAGCTCAAGCGGTTAGTCTCTGGCTTCCCAACGTGGCGGCCCAGGTTCGATCCCGGATCTGGTCAAGTGGGATTTGTGGTGGACAATGTGGTGCTGGGGCAGGTTTCCTCCGAGTACTTTGGTTTCCCCTGCCAATCTTCATTCCACCAATTGCTCCACAATCACCCTCACCTATCATCTGGGGCTGGTACAGTAGGCCAGAAGTGGCCGCAGTACAAGGGACTCAGTCCCACCCCACTAGCAATAAAAAATTACAGTATGTCCAGTTATTGACGTCACCCTTGCGTAGTAAACACAAATACTTACGTCTGTACAGGCAGGTGAAGTTTGCAGCCAATCAGCTCCTTGTATTCCTAGGAGGGGTGTTAAGACTGAGGTCTGACTGGGAACGTCGGCGAACGTTTATACAAACTGTTTTGAAATTGGATCTGCTTGGCTTGACTTTTCGTTAAGAGGATGAATAAAGGTAAATCTCGTTAGATGAAAGGTAATTCCCCGGGAGGAAGCCCCAGAACGCAGTGGCACTGTGGCCCGAGGCCAGACGCACAGCGTGTGACAGGAGAACATGGCTATAGAGAGAAAGATAAAAAGACATGGAGGAGCTGAGAAAGGAAACGTATACGCACAGGTTGAATGAGCCAGATACACAGATAAATCTATCGGTGGATAGAAACTACTGTCACATGCTTATTGTCGTAACAATTTCTGATACCAAAATGCCGTGTGTCCGGGGTTCCGTGACTAATAATAAGGGGTTCTGGGTAGGATTTATTCGCACTGCTATTACAACCAGTTATAACAGCTCAGAATCAATGACTGCCCGAGACACACTCCATTCCTTACTGAACTACGAGTGTCTTCTTTTCTACTGTGACTGACTTGGTTCTGATTTACGGATTGGTCACTTCTGCAGCTTCCGTTTCCGCTGGTCAACACTCCACAGCTGAACACTGAACTACTGAACTGCCTTCTGAATGACGAATGCCGAATCAATTATGTCCCCCCCTTTGTAACTTCGGGAAGAACTGAATAGAAACCACCACCTGGAACAGTTCCTATATTTTTGTGTTCTTATTCGTTGCCGCGGAAACGTGTGTTAATTTCGTAACAATGTCTAGTTTCCAAATGTTTACAAACTTTCCTTGTCGTATCCATGGAAAACGTGTTGGTTTCCAAGAACCAATCTCCCAGCTGCAAAGTGTTTATTAATTCGTTTCTTAGAAATGGCCCACATCTAGAGTGGGCTTCGGAGTTTGACGCCGTGCATCCTTGTAAGTTGTAACCAATATTTTGGAAGGATATACTGCCTCAGGATTCAAGGTACAAATAAGCTTCCTGAAGATGGATGTATGAGAGACTTCCGAAAATTTATCCACCACCTACCAAACAAGTTGGACGCACGGTTCTATAAGAAACTTCGCCTCCTCTGCGACAGATGTCCAGTAAGTACCGGACTACAGGTTGTCATAGCCTACAGAACCACAATCAGTGTATTGTGTGTTAGAAAAGTTGTGATTTAGTGGTGAAACCGTTCAGAATGTCGGTGTATATTTTAGTGGCACTTACAATTACATAACTATACTTTTCTAGGCCTCTGCATAATTCACATGCCGACAACCATTTATCAATGGCGGTAACCTGTAGCGATGCACAAGCATCTTGTTACAGCTGGGAATGTACGAATCGCTGCCCGCTCTGGTGGCCAGGCGCTGCACTGATATGCCACTATGAGTTGCTAGCTCGACACTCCGCGTGTAATGATATGGAACACATTAGGCTTATGCTGGCGCTACATTGCTGATTGTTACGCGTCAAGTGACCGAACCGGGCATCGCAGTGCGGTCACTCAGGGTCAATAGTTCAACTACTGGGCATTAATTCATTTTGTTCACTATTAACATTACTCTTGCTTCAAATTCGAAGATAACCGGTTCGTATCCAGGTAGCGAGATAAATCACTCACTCAACCATTCGCTAATTTGTTCAAGAAATCGCTCATTAATGGACAGCTCATTCAGTATCTCAGTCATTAAAGCAATCGTTCACTCCAGCCGTAATTCACTCACACTCTCAACGGTTTAAGCATTCACCAAGCATTTACTCAGTCCGTAAATGATCCAACACTGGATAATTCAGTCATTCATTCAGCAAGTCAGCATGTCATTTAGCTGCTCAGTTATTCAATAACACAGTCACTCAAGCAAACATGAAGTTGTTTAAGAGCTGAATTACGCAATAAATTAATGTTCTTCAATCACTCGATCCACTATTCGCCCAATCGCTCAATAACACAACCATTTACTCAATCCATTATTCGCCCAATCACTCAATCCATTAATCGCCCAATCGATCAGTAAAACAACCATTCATTCAATCCATTATTCGCTCAATCGCTCAAAAACAAAACCAATCACTCAATCCATTACTAGCCTAATCGCTCAAAAACACAATCACTTACTCCATCAATAACACGTTCAATCGGTGAATGGCTAAACAATTCACTCAATGAATCATTAAATCTCCATATCACTGAATGAATTGACTCCACTTATTTTGCTTTCTCCTCTTCCCGTCTCTATTCCCACGTTATTCCTTCTACTCTTTCTCTGTCTCTTTCATCTTCTCTTTCGTATATCATATCCTCCCCTCTCTTTCACATTATCCCTCTTTTTCTCCTCCTCATACTTGTTCTTCCCTTATTCTCCTCCTCTCATGTATTTCTTTTCCTTGCTTAAACACAAGCAGGAATAGCTCAGTCGGTACAGCTACGGGCTAAGGAATGAACGGCAGGAGTTCAATTCCCGGCATTCCACAGCCTCCAGACAGGCTCTGGGGCCCACCCAGCCTTATATCCAGTGGGCTCCGGGAGGTTTCCCCGTGACTAAAACAGCCGAACCGTGAAACTGACCACTAACATCCATTCAATGCCTAGATCAAAAATACATGGAGCTATAACTCCTCTCCTCAATAATTCTTCATGGCCTTCTTTACCTTGTTCAAACTTCTGACTCTCACACGCGATTTGCGTCCCAAATGGACACTGAGAAGAGAAAAGTGAACCCTGGAGAGTGTAAATGTGCATTGAGAGAGCAGGTACAGCAACAGCGCGGCTGTATCATCCCGTCCTTGCAACAGGTGAATACAGACCAATACTGGATAATGTGGACACGACACTGTGAATCGAACCGATAACCCCCCAAGTTCAGATTCCAAATGAGTTACAGAGATTTCCAGCAGGAGAGCCTCCCCTATGCTCCAGACCCACGTCAAGCAGCACCAACAGTGACAGTTGTGATTCATGAAATTACCACCGGCGCGCCACAGTCCACTGTATTCACGGATAAACAGTTGACGTAAGCAGTGGCGGCTGTTGAGTTAGCGCGAGAGACTGATGCGTCAGGTGGAATTGCGGGCGGTTTGAGTAGGGGACAGAGAAAACACGCAGCACAGCGTGTATTTTGCGGGCCTGTGGCTTTGGTCTACCTGGTACTGAAGCTGCAAGCCATCGAAACGAATTCGCAAAGTTCCGAGAAGTAATGGCCTACTTTCCTTTCATACGTCACGGATCATACGGAACACAAAATGAGGGGACACACATATACACACAGCAAGGCGACCACATACCTATCAGTAACTACCAACAACAATGACTTGTACAAAAAAAGAATAACGACAGAATTACAAGCGTTTTGGATTGGATGGATTAAACCACTGACTTGCGCAGATAGTTAGCTGCCTGATTTAACTTTTGCGTGATGTTTATAAACGATAATGCGAGCCGGGATAGCTCAGTCGGTATAGCGACTGGCGACTGGCTGGACGACCGAGGGGTCGCAGTTCAAGGCCCGGTGGGGTCAAGAATTTTCACTTCTCCACGTCGTCCAGACTGGTTCTGGGGTACACCCAGCCTCCTATCTAATGGGTACCAGGGGCTCTTTCCACCAGGGGTAAAGCGGCAAGGGTGTGAAACTGACCACTCATCTCCAACTAGTGCCCAGATCGAGAAAATGTGGACCTATACATCCACTCCCCAATACGCCTTCATGGCGTAGTACAGAATTAGTTGAGCACAGGGACAGCTTTACCTTCACTATACCTTTATAAAAGAAAACAATTATATTTCTGGCTTTGTTCAATATAAAATATACAAAATATTTTGTTTACATATGAATAAAATACAACCATTTACAAGGCGAAGCTCATGCACACAATGATTAGAATTTCGTAATATTAGAACTCTTGGGCGCATTTTTCTTTCTTAGGTCTTTAATCAATTTAATTAATCGCTAATAAAATCTGAACTGCACCAAGTGAAGCGTGAATGTGCCCCTTATCAGCAGCTGCGTCATTAAGAACACGGCTGTGTTGCCAAGTTTTAGAAGCCCAACCCACCGGAAATAAGATAGCGCATCCGAGTTAGAATAATGACGAAAAAAATAATCAACTCACCCTATAATACGCTCCCCACGGAAATCCGAGGGTTGGTTTACATTATTATTATTACTGTACAAATTTACACACATCGGCATTCCAAAAGGGGGTGGGGTGGAGATATAATTATTGTGTTGTTTCAACAACTGCGACCTCTCTTAATTGCAGTATACACCATCCGTGCATAGCGAGGGATACTTAATTACTCTCTTTACTACTAGTGCAATTCCCGTTAAAACTCCTGGGGAGAAAACGTTGAAAATTCACGTCTACAGCTACGTTTTCAACAGACAACCCTTCCATGTACCCACTCTTACATATTTTAGTCTTTAAGGATCACTCTGGTCGCGCCACAGCTCAAGCGGTTAGTCGCTGGCTTCCCACCGCGGTGGTCCGGGTTCGATCCCTGGTCTGGTCAAGTGGGGTTTGTGATGTACAAAGTGGCACTGGGGTGGGTTTTCTCTGAGTACTTCGGTTTCCCCTACCAATCTTCATTCCACCAAATTCTGCATCATCATAATCACTCGGGTCAGGCTACAATAAGCCAATCAGTGGCCGCCGTGCCGAGCGGACCCAGTTGGACTCCACCCCCCACTAAGCGAATTAAAAAGTTAAAAGAAAAGTGTCACTCTGAAACTACGATTTCACTGAATACGCACGATCCGAGATTTCTAACTCACAGAGATCTGTATGACGTGACAGATTCTTCATGGGTCTGTATGTGGCTTTAGTTTCGAGTGTTGAGGTTTCACTCCAGAAATGGCGCTGGCGATAGGCATTTTGTTTTCACTAATTCTCCATTTAATTCTAGGCACAAGTGTTCATGGACTTGCTTTGTTGGTTAGGTATGTAGCATAAATTTCTACCTTCCTTTCTATCCAAATTTGTGTTTTGTGAGTGCTTTACCACAATTTTTATTGCATATGTTTCTGTTATCTCCCGCCGACATAGCCTGGTCTCAAGTATTTAAATACCTGCAGTCGATCTGACACACAGGATGTTGGCGGGAAAGCCAGAAGAAAAGAGAACACTAGGGAGACCAAGGCGTAGGTGGGTGGACAATATTAAAGTGGATCTTAGAGAGATAGAATGGGATGGTATCGGTTGGATTGGTCTGGCTCAGGATAGGGACCGTTAGAGGACTCTTGTGAACACGGTAAAGAACCTTCGGGTTCCATAAAATGCTGGGAAGTTCTTGAGTAGCTGCACAATTGGCGGATTCTCAAGAAGGGCTCAGCTCCGTGAGTGAATGACATGGGTTTCCCAGTAATCAAGGTTAGCTCTTTCTAATACCGGACGATGCACGAAGTCCGCAAACGCAGTAATTCTCAGTCACGATGTTTGGCAACCCAGCCGGCACCCGGATGGACGGCGATAGTAACGTAACATAAATTTCGTACCTGATAAACACTCGAGGATCCAGAAAAGCTCGCCTACTATCGTTTTGGATCTAACGCCGTGTAGTCAGACAGAAGTTCACCGGCGTTTCGGAGGGATATACTGCCTTTATCTCCAGTGTCGCAGGGTAAGACAAGTAGGAAACTAGCAAAAATCCAGCAGCAACCAGAGCGTTTCGGAAGAATATACTGCCTCCAGCTTCAGAATCGTAAAGCAAATAAGGAAAGCAACCACGAAGAAGCAAGCAGAACGAACTTCCTTTTAGTGATTTCGTGATAACTTCTGTGAGAATATCAAATCCGGCAACTGTCCAGAATATTGATAACTAAATATATAAATAACTGATATTAATTTATTGCAGATCACAATGGCATGAACTGTCTTCGCTTGCTCGAACCCTCGGATCGTGGGTTCGAATCCCAGTCAAAAAAATGGATGTTTGTGTGCGTTTATTCTGTTTGTGCTGCCCTGTGTGCAAGTAGCGGCCTTGCGACGGGCTGATCCCCTGTCCAAGGAGTCCTACCAACTGTGTAAAAAAGATCATGCAACTGAAAAAAGCGGCCAAGGTCCAACAAAGGGCTGTGGAGCCATAGACAGATGTTAATTAATGACACAATTAGTAAGTGTCCATTGCAAATTGATGTGGGTAACCACTTGATAAGCCAGGTTCCTATGGCGTATCTGTTCATCACAGTAGCTCAGTATTCATGATCTGTCTTCATGCAATGCGAAACCTGTGCATTAGAGAAGGCTCTATTGGTCTCCCGTCGAGCGAATCCAGGTTCGATAGCCGGGCATGTATGTGGGATTTGTGGTCAGAAAGGCTGGGTTATGGACAGAATGTACCGGTAAATTTCACCGTTCTTCTGTATAGCAGCGACCACAAACACTGCTGGAAGTTAATGTAATCCTGCAAAATGCCGTGCTAATTAAATCCTTATGCACTGGGATGCCAGGATGAAATAATGCTAATCACTGAATAGCTGAGTTATACAGGGCGTTCTTTGCAGCTGATGAATGAGTGTCACTGCCTTCTCGGACGTGAGATCTGAGTTTCTCAGGACCGTAACTACAAAGATTACATTCTTCTGGAATGTGAGATTTGGGTTTCTCATGGCGGTAACTATGAATATTACTGTCTTCTAGTAAAAAAAAAAAAGTAAAAATAAAGCTAGCCCTGTAACAGGCCGTGGAGGTCCATAGGGTTGTGAGATGTTGAGGTTCCCACATTTTCTAGCCAATTCGCTCATAGATGGCGGTGAGGTTTTCAGCCTTATGCGCCCGCTGGCCTTTACCCGTCAGGAAGATTCCTGGTACTCATTTCTGTTAGAGGCTGAGTCGACCCCAGGGTCACAGTGCGGCTGGAAGGATATTACTGTATTCTGGAATATGAAATTTCAGTTCACCGCTGCGGTAAGTACGAAGTTTACTTACCGTATTTTGGCACGTAATGACATGAGGCTGACACGGTTACAAGGGGTTTCAAGGACTCTGCTACTTCCATCTTCAAGGTATAAGTGAAAACGTAACGGCTTGCTCTCTTGTTCTGAGGATGGAGGCTGAAGCTTACTCCGAAACTTCGGTTACGACCAGACTACACGGCGTCACATCGTAGAAGAGAGCAATCATTGGTTATTTTTTATTGCTAGTGGGGTGGAACTCAGTCCCTTGTACTGCAGCCACTTCTGGCCTATTGTACCAGCCCCAGAAGATAGGTGAGGGTGATTGTGGAGCAATTAGTGGAATTAAGATTGGCAGGGGAAACCGAAGTACTCGGAGAAAACCTACCACAGCGCCACTTTGACCACCACAAATCCCACTTGACCAGACCCGGGATAGAACCCGGGCCGCGCGGTGGGAAGCCAGCGACTAACCGCTTGAGCTATGGCGCGACTCTGCAATCACTGCTTACTTTGTCAAGTATTGAGAGGATGGTGAACTGGGTCCCTGAACCGGAAGTGTGGTTCCAGAGCCCCAAGTGTGTTACTTCAGAACTGCGCCCATTGAGTTCAGCCAATAATTTGAAACCGCCGTAGCGGAATTGTATTTTCTGGCGCTGCTTGCAGATTGTTTGTGGGTACAAAGGATTCAGTGTGCAGTCTGCTTCCTTATCGGCTCTCTAACACAATGGCGTGCCTCTATCGTTGTTTTGGTGATTGCATTAGATACGCCACGGTTACCATTACAGACGGGTGCTGATGACAGTGGCCAGAAAAACTGCTCTGTGTGAATGTTTCATGCGATATAGGCCACTGTTCCACGGA